TATTAATTTTCATATTCCAAGATGTATATGAAAAACACTGCGAACGTTTTTATTGTCATGATCTAACAGAGAAATAGAATCGAAAATTAGGAAATGGTGATAAATGTTTTTGTGTTTCAGTGATGAAAAAGTATTCATGAGTTTAATTAAATTCTTCCTTTCAGGTCGTTTATCGGTTTCAATAATTTATTAAGATATGCAATCTATGAGTTTAATCCACTGTAGGTAAGTGTTTAGAGATATCGCAAATAATATTTGCAATGAGATTATACGAAATAATCCGCAAAATGATTAGAAAAACTGATTCATATGCAATCAGGAAAGCAATATGAAGCAATCGAGATTAAACTGAGGTTTGAATGAAGTAATCCAAAGCAAACTTTATTTATGGAAAAAGTACCAATTTCTTCGAGGCGAAAAGTCAATGATATTAAGAAGTGCATTCAGTAAGAAAATAAAAAATATGTACCCAAGTTGAGTGAAAAATATTACTGAAATAATGTATACATGTCATATCAATATCACTACAATAGGAATCCATAGAAAGCCATACGAATCTAATATATAAAAATGGATGTTTGTTGGTTGGTTGGTTGGTAAGTGATAAACTTCTACTTGCTCAACCGATCGTGATGAAACTTGATATGTATGAGTAATTTTTCATAGAGAAGGTTTTTGGGCTATCAATTTTTTTGTAACTCGCCACTAGATGGCGCTGTAGAACAATTTTTGAAAGCACTGTTCGTTCGTTGATTCTGATTCTGTAAAAATATTGGAACAGCAGCGATACAGCAACATAGTACTAGTCTTGTATAATCATGGAGTAGAAAGCCAAAACGTTCCTTTTCCAATTAGTTATAGATCATTATAAGTTCTGAACTGTTCGTAAGTTTCAGTTAGTTTCGGGTGGACTTTTGCGCAACTTCACACTTATAGCTATGGCTGAACCGGAAATAAAAATATGTCTTTAAAATAAGCATTTATATTTCAGGTACATATAAATCTAAATATTCTAAGATTAAGGTTGGTTGTATAGAGGAACGAAAACGGAGGTCATTACTCAGATGATACTAGATGAATGTTTCAAATCAGACCTATAGGTATGAAAATGAATATGTACATCAAAATTAGAAAATATATTGACGAAAATGGTGTTTAATATGGACATTGTAGAGAACTGAAGAGAAAAAAAACAGAAGTATTATCCCAGATAATATTAGTTGAACGTTTCAATTGAGATCCAACAAGAGTTCGAAAAGGAAAATCCCCTAATTAGAAGATATATTGGGGGAAATAGTGTTTAATTAGGACCTTGTAGAGAACTACAGAGGAACCAAAACGAAAGTACTGTCCATATGACTTTTTTTGTAACATTTCTCAACCCTGGCCAAAAATCACGACCAAGATGTCATTCGATTCGTATTTATGCCTAGAAAGTTTAAGGAAAGGTCCGAAAACACGCCGATGAAAATTACAAAAGTTATAAACAATTAAGTGAAAAAAAATGAGGCTTTACTTTTTTTCATTCACTTATTGTCATATTTGTATGAAGTTTAAGAAAATTAAATGAAGCAATCAGTCATTCTGTTAATTTAATTTTGAAGAGTTTACTCATTAACCTTCTTTAAATTTCCGATGCTCACATTCCTCACATTCCTTAATATTTACATTTAACATGTTTAATTTTTTTTTGTTTTTATGTCAGAGTGACGAAAGGCGCGCGGAAGCCAGAATATTTTTTCAAATTTCCAAAATTTTGAAAATTTTCCGAGATATTAAGAAAAAACTAAAGCCCCATTTTTTTTCACTTAATTGTTTATAACTTTTGTAATTTTTATCGGCGCGTTTTCGGACCATTTCTTAAACTTTCTAGGCAAAAATACGAATCGAATGACATCTTGGTCGTAATTTTTGGACAGGGCTGAAAAATGTCACCAAAAAGAGCTAAATCGAGTACATGTGAACCAGACTACTAGATGAATATTTCAAATCAGACCTAACCGAAATGCAAAAAATTATCAAAATCAGAGTATATATTGATATAAATGTTGATCAAAAAGTTGAGAATGAAATCCAAAGTGGCACGTTTGAAAAGAAACTGAAACGTATGGAAAATCGTTTTCTCAATAATACGTATATATATTTTAGTAATCGACTAGTAGCTTGTTGTACATGTTTCAACCAAACTTAAAATGAGGTCACTAGATATATCACTATCATCGAATGATATAATATCAGACAATGGAAGTCGGAACTAACGAAATTCTTCATGATATTTCATATTCGAACAAAATATTATATCAGATTGTATCAGGGAATTCTCAATAAACCTCTCAGAAAGGTGAAAAGGAATTGGTTAAGAGGTCATCTACCAAATTCTTGAAAGATCCGCGAAACCACCACCATAGGTTGTTATAGAAGTTATAAATATTCAACGAAAGTAATTTTTTATGGAGGAAAATCAGTTTATCATCGACTTTCTTTGGGTATTTTTCATCTTCCACAATCTGAAAAATATAAAAATTATAATTAAAAATACAAAAATGACTTTCGTTGAATATTTAAGAGAACGGTATGGGCCGCAGTGTCTTAACGATTTCAAGACATTGGAAAATTTATACAAAAACTATCAGGTACCCACAGTAGTTTAACATTCCTTTGTATATGTAGGGACAACAAAATCATCCCTAAAGGCCTCAGATTGAAGTTGCCATATGTAAGTCGACAATGTAAAAAAATAATTACTAGAGCTGGTCATGATATGGTAAGAGAAAGAATTCAGTTTCACCGACGGAACAAGGTAACATTTGAAATGAATATATATGATTTGAAGCAATAAGAACACATCTGATTCATAATGATTTTGACAATATTTCAACTCTTTCAATCAGAGTAGAAATAGAACTCACATAAATAAGTTTAGAAAACTACTAAAATATGTGGTGATTACAGATCTGAATATGAAAATATTTTATCACGACCCCATCATACTAGAACTAACTTAAATAAGTATGAGAGAATTGCAATAACATCCCTTCGTTCACATACTAATATTAAAATACTTCCAGCCGATAATGGTAATGCCACAGTGATAATGGATACTCTCGATTATGAAAATAAATCATCTCAGTTGATTCCGAACACAACATACCGAACACATAATATAACAAAAAACGTTTACAAAAAACTGAAAGATGATCCAACAAAATCAATTGAACAAAAAATGTATAGAACATTGGCTAAACATAAAAACACGTTAACCAAAACAGAACACGCTCAACTAATTTCCCATTTTAGTAAACCTCCTCATTTCTATGGTTTACCAAAAATACATAAACCTAATTCCTTTAAGACCAATTGTAAGTTCAATTGCATCTCCCTGTCAGAAATTAGCAAGATACTCTTTGGAAATTTTGAAAACAATATCAGGAAATAGTAATACCATATACTAAAAAATACAACCCATTTCATAGATAAACACTAAGATATAACACTCAGTAATGGTGATGTTCTGATGAACTTTGATGTTGAAAGTCTTTTCACGAATGTTCCTGTTGATAAAACTCTTCAAATTGTTAGATATAGGTTGGAAAATGACTCAACTTCAAAACATGGAACAAAGTTGGATGTTAGTTCTAGAAATGTTCTAGAAAATTTCAATAGAGAAGTATCATTAATTAAATCTGTTCTGGATAACGCTTATCCAGATTCGTTCATAAATTCAACAACATTCAACAATTACCGAGTCAACATCCACTGACACCTTTCACAACTAACGTTATACCGTACATTCCAGGACTATCTGGAAAAATAAGACGAATTGGAAATATGTATGATGTTAGAACTACTTTCAAAACAACAAATACATTGAGATCTATACTCACACATACAAAACCCAACAAAACTGAAGAAAAAACAAAAAAATGCATTTATGAGATAACTTATTCTTGTGGTAAAAGTTATATTGGTGAAACTTCGAGACCCTTGAAAGTGCGTGAGAATGAACATCAAGATTACATAAGAAATAGACAATTGACAGGATCTAAATTGTCAGAACACATTTTAAAATCAGACGGTAAATATCGAATGGAATGGAACAAGACAAGAATGATTTTCTATGAGCCTCACTCTAAGAGACGTAACCTAAAAGAATCAGCGTATATTCTCATATCTGGAGAGAATTGTATTTCGAACAGCTCCCTAGAACTTGGCTACCCATCTTGAAGGAAAATTTGGATAGTGGCGAAATGGCAACAGACTGCTATCAGAAAGCACCTTGTATTACATCGAATATTTCAGTTGTCAATCAACAACACTGACATAATTTCACATTTCAAAACTACTTTACATATGTCGAAGAAGTTGAGAAATAAATAATCAAGAGGCATAACTACAAATATATCTGAATGTTTTGTCCATTTCTGAAGACGGAGGCAGATTTTGGACTCCGAAACGTAAAGATAAGGATTGTATTATTTCTTAGCAATTTTTTTGATGGGCAAAATTTTTAAATACGATAAGTTACTGATAAATACAACATTTTTCTTTGTGAAAAATACTTTGATTTTACGCAGTAACTTATCGGGGTAAACTAAAAACTTTGCCCTTTCTACACTTGTATAAAGTTCTCCATTATAATTTTTATATTTTTCAAATTGTGGAAGGTGAAAAATGCCCAAAAAAAGTCGATGAAAAAGTCATAAATGTTCTGATACAGGCACATTGAAGATGTTGATCTTGATTGACTAAAGGACATTGTACAGGGTGAACGGAATAAACTCTTGCAGGTTGACAAATATCTATGTCAAATATCTGGAGAACAAGCTGAACGAAACAGAAGATGTGTTGCAATAGCTTCATGAAGCAGATAATGGACAAAGTCCTAGGCAAACTCGAAGTTCAAAAAATAACCTAACATCTAAAATTAGTCATGATTCAGTTCGTAGCAAAAAAATACCAATCGATACTGAAGTAGCTTGCAACCAAAAAATTGTACTTACCAATTAATCTGGGTTCCACGTAATCCTCGAGCAAAATAAAAATACACTTATTGGACTCCTACTTCGCGATAAATTTGTTACTGTTGCCTTGACAAATATATAATAGAATGAGAAAACAATGGACTTTATTGATTCCATTACCTGAACCACTTGAAAAATTAGGAATGTAATCATGTCATCAGATAAAGTCGTCTATAACAAAGATTTGTGATATGAATGAAGTTGAAATCAGCCAAGAGATGGCTTCTATGGCAGGTGTTCTGTTATAATTTCAATGTAAAAAACCTTTATGGAAATATGCAACCGAATCAGATGAGATAATTATAATTAATAGAATTGCCGCAACTACTTTTAATGAAAAATATGTGAATGCAGGTGATCTACTTGAATAATTTCAGCATGGTCCTGCTGCTAGATGAACGAGAAATATCTGCGAGACTAGCCTCTGTGAGGAATCTTGCATAAATGTCTGTCGGATATAATTCAATATCCACCATGGTTTTAGCTGGGAAAGTAGTTGTTTTTCGACAGACGTTTACCACACCCTACTCTGAAGGTGGTTGGGAGATTAATTTCCTTTTATGCAAATTTTTATATTTTTACACCGTTCTCAAACTACTCAAAAAATGGGAGACATGGTCGGGCCTTCCACGTCGAAAAAGGTAAAACGGTCGGAGTCTCGGTCAGTAAGAGAAAAACAAATTGTACTGCGAGTATTTCACTGTCTTGAAAGAGATCATCAGCCACCAAAAAATGACTTTGTGCATATGTGTTGTAATTCTATGTGTGTACCTCCGAATAACCAACCGGGCATTTCTACATCATCAAGTTCCACAATTACAAAAGATAAATTAGTTGATATGTGCTCTGATTATTCCGGTGTACCAAAATCATCGATTTACAAAATACTAAGAGAAGCAGAAATTCATGGGGACGTACAAACGCCAAAAACTAGTAGTGGACGAAAAAAAATCACAGTTGATGAAGAAGCCAAAACCTAACTAATTGTACTAAGAATTTTTCTTTCATTCTCAACCCTCTCAAAAATTAATGAGCACGCCCCCGATTTGCTGTCAACTGGGCTTACTTCTACTCTCAATCATTATTAGTAACGCTCGCGTTAAGAAGTATTATTAATGATTAGGTATAGTTTTTGCGGCTTTACTTTTGTTTAGCGTGTGTAAAAAATTAGGGCACACAAAACTTCTTTGTACATAATATTCTTAACTAATCTGTCATTAGGCGCTAAAACTATCAAGCTATTGGGTGAACTTACTCGTGAGCAAGCAACTTAAAACTGTCCATGAGAGAAGCAATGTCCTCTCAAGTCAATACACGCAAATTTGAGAGTTGGCCCCTGAGACTTGTTTATTGTCATGGCAAAGCAGACTTTTAGAGGAAACTGTAATCGTTTAAATTCGAATGGGATATCATTAGGTATTTATGGGATTCGTGGTATAAATACACCACACCCAGTTAATATAGTGGCTTCCACTATATTGCGATGTAACGCTTTCACTTGCAGTCTAGTACCGTTACAAAGTTTTGGTGGTTTTAAATTTCGCATATTTGGAGTGCTCACACGCAGAATAAGCTTATGTCAAGGCAAACCTGGCGGTTTCAATGAATTTAAAAATTCTACAGGGTAATTAGTAGCGTCATTTGTATTAACCACAGTATGAATCGAAGTATAGACCTTTTCTTCGCCCTCAAATGACATGAGCAGGATATCGTTGATAGCTGCTGCTTGATCGTTCTTTGGAGTAAGTATGGCTCGATTCATCTCACTGATACGCTGAAGTGAGTTACTTCGGTTTTCGAGGATGATGTCTCTTCGGTCAAAATGCTGATCTACCAATACAGCAGCCACTTCATTTGCCGTTGGTGCATTGAATCTGCCTCTGTGTTCTCTTTGTGGATTTTTATCTGCATGTATTACGACCTTGAATAACTCTGAAGGCGATATTTTATCAATGACTGTTTTTAGATCTTTTATGTATGGGTTCACCTCATATAACATAAGCTGCAATTGTTTGATTAAATATGGTCTCAAATCAGGAAATTTAGAACATCGAATATTAGCTTCTCTACCATCTTCAGCGACAAAATAAATTTGCAGAAACTGTGCTTCCTGCCCAGGTTCCGGTAATATACTTCCAATTTAATGATAGACTTGTCCTTGAACTTTAAAAGTTGGTGAAAAACCGCCTTCTTTTATTTGTTTTCCACCAAAAGAAGTCATTTAAAAACAGGCATTATATTTTCGGATGTTATCCATGAAGTGTATATGATTTAGGTGTAAATCATTAACCAGACTGTAATGTAGTTCAGGCAGGAATTTGAATGGCTCAAGTTGTACTTTACCGGCGCTACAACACATGCCAGGCATCTCATCGTTCCACTACAAGGCGTTACACCACTGACACTTGTATGTCATAGAACCTAAGACTACACTGCTGTCAGTTCCATCAGCAATATCTGGGTCATACGCCACACCCGAAAGCAATTTGCTTCTCCATACACGCTGAATTGTATTTTCTCTATACCATCACTGAATCACTCTATGCACATCGGTATTCCTGGCCTGATATAGTGCAGCAGATTGCCTATGTTTTTCAGGGTTTGCAGCCTGGTAGGTGGCGACAAATTGCCTGTGTTTTTCAGGGTGTGCAGCCTGGTAGGTGGCGACAGCTTGCCTCTATACATCAGAGTTTTTTTTCTTATATCCAGACACAGCTTCACGGTGGGACTCTGGTAGAGTCTGTCCATATTGTTTTGTGCCTTTTTTATTTGATTTTTTCGTGTGTAATTAGTAAACCTTGCCCTACGTTTGTTTTTCTTTTTTCTATTGATGTCACAAACTCAGATTCGGACAATAAACTTCTTATTAAATTTTCATCATAATTTATTGAAGACACAATAGGTGAATATTCATGCTTTAAAACAGGTACCTCCTGACAACCCTTATCAACTTTAAGTTGCGAAGGTGTATCAATTCCAAAATCATGCTCTTCTACAACTAACTCCATACGACGCCAAGTAATTTTCTGTACTGCTATGGAAAGATAGGCATCAAAATACCCACTGGACAAATCTTTGCTGAATCGTAATCGCCTTACCGGATAGTCGTTAGATCCAGATTCCGTATATATGAGACCGTTTCTATAAACTTGAAACTTGAATGGAAATATTAATTCTGCTGCTATTAACTCACAAAATCCGCCATGAGTAGCATTTTTCATCATATCAGCAAAATATTCGTCAGGTGTTACGTAGTTATCACCATTCCTGTCGTGGGTCATAATTGAAAACTTGCTCCAGTTATTAACCATGTATCTGACAATTTCTGAACGCACCTCCATCGCTCTATCTTGTGTTCCGTACATTAAATAAGAGAGAGCACGAAACAAACATGCACCGTCACCAACAATATGGACGACAGTACATTCTTCAACTTCTCCATTAACGTTCAGATTTTCTTTAGACATTTTTAAAAAGTCTAACCGACAAAACCTATACTTAAACCAAACGAAAACAAAACAAATGCCAAAAACAAAGCAGAGTTAATAACTACTAAACCGAAACAAAGCAAATGCAATTCAAAATATGCCAAGGAAAAAACAGCCAAAATCGTCAAATATAATCCGCTAGAAATATTTAGGTATACTATGTACTATTAGATACGGCGGCCTCTCATCATAGTGTATATGTAACTCAGGGAAAACACAACGATAGCGCGTTTTGAAATACTACTATTGCCATCTATTGTCAACATTTAGAACTAAAAATTTATTCGTTCTATTAGGTACTGATAGGTTCAAACTAATACATTTACATCCTCCATCATCCCTTAGTTTATCCCCTTAGGGGTGGAATTTATCAAAATCCTTTCTTAGGGGATGCCTACGTCGTAGTAGCTTTATGCATGCAAAGTCTCAGCCCGATCGGTTTAAAATTGACAAAGTTTCATACAAACTTTCATCCCCTATTTTATCCCCTTGGGGGTAGAATTGATCAAAATCCTTTCTTAGCGGATGCCTACGTCATAACATCTACCTGCATGCCAAATTTCAGCCCGATCCGTCTTGTGGTTTGGCCGTGCGTTGATAGATCACTATGTCAGTCAGTCAGTCAGTCATCTTTGAGTTATATATATTTAGAGATAAATTATAATCATTTACTCCTAAATTGTAATAAATATAGATTTAATTTCAATCCCAACTACAGAATCGCGCATCTTTATTGTTAACTACTCTCGAATGGTTATCTATAGAAAGTAGGCTTACATATTTAACGATGATGTATATTAACAAAACGTTGCATATTCTTCTACCTTCATATTTTGACAAATTTGTAATTTTTAATAATCAAATCCTTCAGTTTGATACTAGAATAAGAAATAATTTGTATGTAAATAATCAAACAAAAACGTTCAACACTAAAACATTAATTTTTAAAGGATTTATTAAGTATAACACTTTACCTGAAAATGTAAAGTCTTCTAACAGTTTAAAAGAAATCTATTAGACCATTCAAGAGACCGTTGAGGTGATACCAAATTATTATGTATTATTATTATTTTTTTGTATTTTCACAAATTTTGTATTTTAACAAATATCAGTAGATCTTTTTTTCTGAATGGAAGGGGTTATATTTTTAGGAGTGATTAATTTTTGATAATCTTTTTTTCTATTATTGTGTTTATATGTATATTAATGTCAACATTATTATCATTGTTATATATAAGGATGTATCCTATTTGAATAAAGCATTTCATTTCGAAAGTATACGAAAGCATTCAACAACCTTGATGTGGAATGTTCAGGAATACCCTGGAACGTTCGGGAACCTTCTGGAACATCTTTTATGCATAACCCTGGATAGAACCCACTCGAATGAATGTATTTACAACCATTATTTCCAATTTTGAGAAATAAAACTACCTATTTTCACTGAAGATACAATAAAAATACAACCTTGTCGTCTCTTGACTGCCTATGGCGAAATAATTTTAATTTTGCCATAACTCCTAAAATTTCAATTTGAATTGTATTAGACGAGGATCGATAATTTTTAAAACCAAAAAAAAAATAACAATAGAACAGGGGAATATGATAAAAATGAAAGGAAAAATAAA